TTTCAGAGGTCATACTGCCTCCATCATCAGGGCGATGAATATTTCTGTCTTCTGGGTTGTTGCGTTGTGTAGTCTGGTCGATGTTACCCAACGTTGCAGAGGTCATACTGCCTCCGTCATCAGGGCGATGAATATGATATTCATCGCCCTGATGACGGAGGCAGTATGACCTCTGAAACGTTGGTTAACATCGACCAGACTACACAGCGCAATAACCCAGAAGACAGAAATCTTCATTCTGTAGTTTATCTGGAACATAGCACTGCATCCATTGTGTTTTCCAGGTTTGTTATTAAAGATCGCTGCCAATCGATTAGAATTTTAATCTTATTTGTTAATAACTAATAGGTTTATATAATTAGCTGTACATAATAAATATGTAAATTCAATTCATAATTTCCGAAGTTATTAAACGGCCTGTCGTGTAAGAACCAGGTTTGTGACATGCAAAGAAAAATCAAGAATTAGAATGAGTAATTGTAGGTTCATGTTCCTACCCAAACAGGCAGACAGTTATTGACGATAAGCTTTGACAGTTGTATAGGTTAAAAGAATAAGAACAACCCGACCTCGGGAAAAACTCCTCGCTCTTCAGAAAGCGATAATTGCTCAAACATATTCTCCACAAAATTGCCTGTCTTTATAGTTTTTTACGTGTCATCCAGTACATCGTAATCTTCTTCAATTAACTACCCTGGAAATAATATGAACGTAAATTCCAAAGTTCTTCACCATCTGGTCCTAAGATCCGAGTCTTAAAGACGAGTACTATCTTGGTCCACCGAAACCCTGGCAACGCTGTTTCACGGATGTTTGCCATTTTGGGTTTTCCTACGTCCTGTGACGTTAGAAGCTTTGGGATCGGCTGATCCCCCTTCCTGGGATTCGTATTAATTCGATAACTTATTTCGGAGTCCCAAAAAAGTGTTGTTTGTTAATTTAATTGTGATTTCACAACTACAGAGTTTATTTTGTGTCTACAAAATGATTTTGAATGAAATGAGAAGAATGTGAAAAGAATCGATTTATGCTTAGTTTCAAACACTGCTCGGAATTTTCCTACAGGACAATACACGACGTTGAAATATCCGGTTTCCTTATCGACGTACGAACGTCATTTCTTATCTTTATATCCAAATTCAGAACCAAATGTGCACATTTCTCCGTAACAAAGACAACTGCATTTATTGTCCACCTGAAACACAAATGCCTGCATCATCATCTGCTTCTCAGCCAGAAGCTCGTTGCTGGAATATTTGGTGCCAACTTCCATTAAAATATGTTTTATTTCTTCCTCTCTTGGAGATGAATACTTCGTCTCGAAACGATTTGTACGTAGCGAGTAATCGATCGAGTATATCGCCATATCGATTTCCTCCCGTATGCTACAGGTTAGAGATGGCCAGGCTTGCAGAAACAAACAACAATGTAACACAGAGTGAGCGATTGGGTGTGCTAATACTTCATCATCGCCGGAGGATGTTCACTAATGGGTAGGAGGGGAGGGGGAATGCTTTTTAAACCAGAGTCGCAGCGCGGATCGCTCAGTCTGTATTGTTGAGGTCGCCGCTGAGCCATGAGTCGATTCTTCATCCTTGTATTGGTGGTTGCAGCTGCAGCGTCCGCTTATGCAGGTAAGTACGGTTTAGTCCTAAGACATGTAAGCCTGCACCATTGAATATGGAGACTTCGTACGAATATATTCGTCAGTTCTGCACACGTGTGTTTGTAGGGTTTTCGTAAGAGACGTACGCCCACCGCGATGTATAGAGACACCGTATTTCGTATTCGAATATTGTTCTAATGTATTTTTACCCATGCTCTGATTTGGTTACAGCTATAATTTGTCTAACTAGTAAATATACGAGACTAGCAGAGTGCCACTTTATTACTGTGGGGAATCCGACAAATACTTGTATTTCTTATGAATTTGTATTGCCTAAAAGTTTATTATAGGCCAGATAATTCGATAAGGGTCACATCAACGCAGGTCACGACCCGATCCACTCAGAATTGGATAACTTTTTTATATTGTAGTTCCAGTGGAAATAATTATTCCTGTCAAATGTTTCTGCTTTATAGCCACTAGATTTTTGACAGCAGGCTTTCAGTTTTGTTAAAAACACTCTCTTTTTTGGCACATGTTTTCAAATCAAAATGGTATAACTTTTGCTCTAATTGATATACAGAACTCATATTATGCTCATTTCAAAGGTAATAAAATTCCGTTTACAGCGACCTGCTACACCAGTTTATTCAGTATAATTATGTTTTCAGATACTTAAAATTTGACCTTTTAACGTATATCTCTTAAAATAGGGAATTTTATAATATATTTTAATACAATGTGTGTATATATTTATTTATTATTTCAGTCTATACACAAACTTAATTTTTAAAATGCTGTTGTTAAAATTAAAATTAAAATTTAGCGCTTTTCATCGTTATTACGATGTTACATTTCAGCGCTTATGTATGTGTGTATTTAACTTATATATTTAAAACATCTGCAAATATCAGCTTGGGACTACAATTAGATTGGGTTTTTTTAAAGCATTTTACTGTGAAGAATCACTTCACAAGTATTGATGAGGCAACTTCAAGCAATACGTTCCGTAAATTCTTTACGTCTATTAATTTAGGCTAATGAAAATAGTTACGTTATTGCAGAAATATATTTTGATCACGTGTCAGTAAGATATTCTTGTCTATAGGCTTAAATAAGTCTTGGGAAAATGAGAAATACAAGGTGAGAAGTCAAATTTGACGGCCTTGAAAACGTTGGTGTTACAGATAATTGGAAAGGGAGCTTTATTAGATTTGAAATTACTTTAAATGGACTCTTTATCTCAATTAGGGCAGAATTTATATAACTCTTTATAAGAAAACTTTGTCCAAAAACGAGTTTTCAGACAAATTTAGATGTCTGCTCTCAGAAATCGTGGTCATAATGCAGGAAAGTAAGGTAAGAATATTATTATTTACATTTCACAAACAGTTATTTATTTCTAAAAGGACCAGTTTTAAAATGTATCTTTTCTGTGTTTATATGATATCGAATGGCCGTATGTATCGCCGGATATCATGGGAAAAAGTTTTTATCCCTAAACCCAAGAATATTTTTGTTTAAAA